TTTGTATCAAATTGATCTAATGATCTTTCCAACATTACATCAAGGAAAGGGAGTCGACCATCTTGTTCAATCTTTATTGTGAACTTTACTGGCGGTTCTCGCTCGTTGATATAATTCAAGAAAGTATTCAGGTCATCATGGTTTCTATTCCAAACAGCAAAGATATCATCAACGTATCTCTACCAAACATTGGTACCGTTCTGGTAAGTTGCAACAAAAGATTCTTCGAAATACTCATATATATGTTACTTAAGATGGGAGATAAAGGGGAACCCTTATCCTTGCCAAATTCTTGTTGATAGAAATCATCTCCATATTAAAAATAGGTTTTGTCTATACATAATCTTGAAAGTTCTGATATAGAACTGACATCCAATTTTGTTCGATGTTTTAAAGTTGAGTCTTTTTCCAACCTGGATCTGACAATTTGAAAAGTTTTATTAACAGGAACTTTCGTGAAAAGACTTTCAACATCAAAGCTTATCAGAACATCACCATCACTGAGTGTTATATTTTTAAGTTTATTTATGAAATGGGTTGTAGTTTTTAGGAAACTATTACTATTTCCTGATATTGGTTTAAAAATTTCCAAAAGGTATCTCCCTAATTTCTGACAGGGAGATGCAATTGAACTTACAATTGGTTTAAAAGAAAACATTAGGTTTATGTATTTTTGATAAACCATAGAAATGAGGAGGTTTACTAAAAGGAGAAAATAGTCGAGTGCGTTCTGTTTTAGTCCAGTCATTTAAGGTTTTATCTGCGGAAAAATTCCTGCTGAGCTGAGTTTTGGTATACACCTTCATTATGGTGTTTTAATGTAGAAATACCAACTTTTTCGAAATTCTCAATGAGCATTTCAATTAATTTTCTTTTGTTAAATCGGTCGGTCGGTAGCCAAGCGGTTCGGCGTGGGTGCTTTGTACACTCACTCGAATTTACTGCTGTGTTGGTCGGTGGTTCAAGCCCTAGTCTGAACGATCGATCTTCACTTGCTACCGTCCTACCCGTGTTAGGAATCACACGTTAAAAGGTAAGACCTCGTTAATCCTTAGCTCGCACAAGTTTCGACTTCTGAGGGTTGTCGTTCGTAGGGGTGTGACAGCTGGTTAACGGAAAAACAGATTTTTTTTAAAACAGGTTAGATAAACATTTTTCTTGACTGATAGGAACTCTCATCGATTCATTGAAGTGTACTTTATAAGATGTAGAAACGGCTGCGGTTCGTCTTAGTTGTTCCATCGCTTTGATATTTTTCTAACCATCAAAAATGACAACAGTATTTTGACCAAAATTGTTTGATAAATAATTGATATACTTGTTAATGATAATATTGATTGTATCATTTTTTTGCCATACAACACGATGCATAAGAAATCCACCATCAATTATGTATGTTGCATTATTATACAGGTATACCTGTATGGGTGGTACGCCTGTATACCCATACAGGTATACCTGTATGGGTATACCAGGTATACCTGTTTTCAGGTGTACCTGTATGGGTGGTACGCCTAGATGGTTTACCTGTATGGGATACTTTTATAGCATAAATAGGGTTAGCTCGCATTAGTTTCTAGTTTTAATCTTCCTCTTTGAAGATGATCACTTGGTTATCGAAACACGTGTCGAGGTGTTGAAAATAACGATTTGGTGTTGGTAAATAACTCCAGTAATTCAATTGTTTTTGTTGGATCATCCTTCAGTTTTTTGTAAAAGTATTTTGTTATATTATATGTTCGGTATGTTGTGTTCGAAATCAACTGAGATAATTTATTTTCCTCCACGAAAAATGGCTTTCGTTGAATATGTAATAAATGTGTTACAATATTTATTGTAATGCTAACATAGTTCTCTAAAATATTCTTGAAGTTGAATAAACATCATTCTCGTGTCCAAAATTCCTTCAATAATCATCGTTCAATATAACTACTGAAACGGAGTTCTCAGAGAAGGTCGGAGCCCTTTAACGCTCTGCTCAAATCATGGCAACAATTAAACGATCACATTCCCAGAATAAAACTCATATGGAGGGAGTCACGAAATATCTCGACAACATGCAAGGGACGTGTCGCGTGCGTATGTAGCGTTTTCCCGCACGGAGAAAAACATTTATGCCTCAAGAATAATGCTTTCCTCTGATTCAGGGGTAGTCTCCGAGGAACGTTCTGATGAGGGTGGAAGCCAGAAGTGTAAAAAAAAATTAAAATGAAGACAAAAGACCCGACCGATCGATATTCATATGGGAATCGTCAGATGGAAATAATTCTTAAATAGTTCTTTCGCTTCCAGAAGACCAGGCTCATTATCAAAAAATCGATTCTCTCCACTTGAGAAGGGGTGAATATCGGCCACGGGTTTTATATCGTGTCGCATGTCGATTCCTTTTGTCCTTTGGTACAGACCTCATTTCGTAAGTGATCAGTTTCATTTGAAAATTCAGAATTGCCGCAATAATCTCAAAATATCTCAAATATAGAATTGAAAAGTGAGAAACGACTACCAAATTCATTGTTTATTGAAGAAAACTCTGAGAACGAAGTGAAAAATTTGATTTTGAACTTGAAGAATAATAAGGCACCCAGATTTTATAATGAGATTTTATATAAGTACAAAAACTCTCAAATGTGGGACATCTTCCTATCATAACCTCAACTGTCATACCTCTTCCCCCACCCCTCGGTGACTATCACCCAAACAATTTGAATAGGGAAAGTAGTAAGTGTGACACATCGTTAAAAAGGCAATTTCATAAGAAATTCAGTCATGTCAATTTTAGCTACCTTACTTTCGATGTTGGCGCTCTCTTGCAAGGAAAAACCTGTTCCGTATTCCAAATTATGATACTTCATTCGCAAGCTAATTTGACATGAATTCGGTGACAATGAATTATGGAGTGTTTCTAGGGAAAAAACAAGATGACGGCTTCACAATGGCGTATCAATTCAAAATTGATAAGTGGTGGTTTTTAGGGTCGGAAATTATGAATTGTTTTTCAATGCAAAAAATCAAGATGTGGCACCAAAATGGTTGGCGAAATTTGTAATTATGGTTCGATTTAACCCGACACCGAAAACGAATTCTTCAAAACACATGTGTTGTGAACATAATGCAAAAACACGTCAATTTTAAATCCACGGGGGACAAATCTTATCGTTACCTCAACTGTCATACTTCTCTCCCCACCCCTTATTCACTCATACAATTTGATTAGGGAAAGGGTGACACAACATTGAAAAGGTAATTCCATAAGGAATTCAGACATGTAGGTGTTCACCACTTAACTTTTCAATTTGGCGCTCTATTGCAGGAAAAACAACTGTTTCGTGTTTCAATTCAAATTTTATTTGGAAGGTATTGTGAACATTTCACGAAAAAAGAATAAAAATTGAAAAAAATACATGACTTAAAAATTGGTAAATTGTGCATAAATTAAACTAAGATCATTCCAAACTACATTGATTCATAGTAGATGCTCAAAGTGTTCTCCATTCACTGTCATACATGTCTGAATTCCTTATGGAATTACCTTTTCAATGCTGTGTCACACCTAATACTTTCCCTAATCAAATTGTATGAGTGAGGGAGAGAAGTATGACAGTTAAGGTGGACGATAGGATTTGTCCCCCTTGGATTTTAAACTGACGTGTTTTTGCATTATGATCACAACACATGTATTTTGAAGAATTCGTTTTCGGTGTCGGGTTAAATCGAACCATAATTACAAATTTCATCCCCAATTTTGGAGCTGCCATCTTGATTTTTGCATTGAAAAACAATTCATATTTCCCAACCCTGAAAACTACCACTTATCAATTTTGAATCAAATCGGATCATAAATTGCAAATCTTGTCCGCCATTGTGAAACCGCCATCTTGTTTTTCCCCTAGAAAAACTCCATAATGCATTGTCACCGAATTTATGTCAAATTAGCTTGCGAATGAAGTATCGTTATTTGGAATACGGAACAGTTTTTTCACCCGCAAGAGGGCGCCAAAATCGACAGTTAGGTAGCTGAAATTGACATGGCTGAATTCCTTATTCTATTTATTCTAGATCAGAACGAGACTCATCAGATGTATTTTTCATAACACAAAATCAGTCTAACATGAACGTTAACTGGTACAGTCAAATTTTGAATTATTATCCGGAAATAATTCACCCGATAGTACATCTCATACAATATGAATATCAACATGAAGGTTAGCCAGTATAACATAATTCAACTCTCGGAAACACAATCAACGGACATAGAGACACAATATTTTGTGGTGAACCTGGCCATAATAAGATTTTTATTACAATTTTAGAAAATAATATCTTTCATAAAACGGTTTTGAATGAAATCAATTGAATTTCAGTATTCAATTTTGATATATCTAAAAGATCTGAACATCCTCAGAAACTCTCATCCAGGGTTGGCAGAAACTTATAAAAAATCAAAAGAACTATATCGCAGATTATTATTAAACACCAAGCGTAAGTTTTATCAGAATAAAATAACGGCATTCGACAACCCCACAAAAACAGCTTGGCAAATGATAAATGATATTAATAGTTCCTCAAATGTGAGAAGAAATATAACTATTCTTCATAATAGTGAGTATGTCATGAATCCCCAAGAAATTTCTGACCTCTTCAATGAATACTTTCTCTCTACATCTAAGAAAATCACCGATGATCTCAAATGTAATACCCTAAAAAATAAGTATAAAAATCCTCCTAACATTCCAGAAACTATATTTCTTGTCCCTTTTTCAGAAACAGAACTCTTATCACTCTTAATGAACAAACTCAAAAATAAGGNTCATACAATATGAATATCAACACGAAGGTTACAATTACAATTTCAGAAAATGATATCTTTCATAAAACGGTTCTGAAATCAATTGAATTTCAGTATGTAATTTTGATATATGTAAGCACTATATCAAATCAATATTCTATTTTTTGATTTTTGTTACAGGAAAATATTCTGGCATATACGACAAGAGGTAATGAGCTCTTTTTGATAACAGAAGTTCCTGAAGATGACAGGGTCGCATTACTCTCTACGATGGAACAACCATCAAAACCATATTCTAGCCGCATTTGAGGCTCTTCTACATGCGGAAAGGCTTGTGGATGTAACCTTGGTTTGTGCTGATACATCAGTGAAAGCTCATAAAGTTGTCTTGAGCGCATGTTCACCACTGTTCCAAAGAATTTTTTCCGAAACCTCTTGCAAACATCCTGTAATAGTATTGAAAGATTTCAGTGCATGGGAGATACAATCTATCATCGATTTTATGTACAGAGGAGAGATATCCGTAGCTCACGAGCAACTAACGGATTTGATCAAAGTGGCAGAGAGCCTGGAAGTCAGAGGCTTGGCTAATCCCAATCCATCCGATGTTGATAAGGAATCCACCTCTATAACAAACAAAACGCCTACTCCATCAACATCTCCAAACGATTACGAGCGCAATTACTTGAATGGTGGACGATATTCAAATTCCGGAACTTCAAACAGAGGTCGCAGAGACAGAAGATCACCCTTTATTCCAATTGCAGTCCAAAACAACTATGAACCTCCACTGAAACTCCCGCACATGTCAAGGTTATCTTTTCCCGAAACTCTGCTCCCTAGACAAGAAAGCCAATCGCCCCTTACCAGGAGAAAACAAGCTAGGCCCAGACGCAGATCCGGAGAATCATGTGGTGCCCAAGACCTCACAATCGGTGTCCCGAAATCAAGTTCACCAGGCGTGGAAACAGCCGAAAATCTGTGCATCAAAAAACAAGATAAAGATGACAAGAAGGAAATCAAACAAGAAAAACCCATCACACCGGAACCCGACGTAGAGAGTTCAGAAATGGATTTCAGTATGCACAGTGGAAAAGAGTACAGATCGTCACCAATCAACATGAACCCTCCCTTAACTCTGAAACAAGAAGTCGATAATCCTTCACCGTTACCCTATCCCCCGATGCCATCAGTATCAGCATTGAGTATGACTTCGCCACATAGTAAATGTGAGTATAACACGATATTTCAGAAGATTCGCTCACATTCAAATTTATTTCTTTTTTGAATTGCATTATACATCACCTTCAGGTTTGTTT